AACTGTAGTTGTATGAATATCTATAAGAGTCTAAACTAGGTAAATCTGTAAAATAGGTATGGACTACTCTAGTAAGTATGCTTTGAGGTTAACTAGCTTTGCAATACCTATAATATATTAAATACAATATATCTTAAGAGAATCTAAACTATTCTAAATAAATAGATCTGTAATAAGCTAGCTAGTTTAAGTAGTTAGATATTGTAATGACATTAAATTAGATCTGTATAGATTAATGAACAAAGTGTTTAAATAGATAACTCACAGATGGGTTACAGGTATGCCAGCATAGTATAAACTAATTGAGTAATCTAATTGCCTATGTAGCAGACTACTTAAATTAGACAATAACTAAAGTTATACATGTAGCTTGTTGTATATTCTTCATGTAATTACAAACAGTAAGGATTATCAATGTATATTCTGTATGCAATTCTAATAAAATTTCTTAGGCAATGTAAGCTACCTTAATAATAAAAAAAAAAAAAGTATTTCTAATTTAACGAAGTTGCTCTTGATTCTATTAATATTATATGTAGCTATATTTAATATCTAATAGTCTTCTACTATAATACCTTTGCTCTCTTCTATTTTATTTTCTTTTTCTACTCTTCTTTCTAACTAAAAATGTTAGCCCCACTGTCTATTATTATTAATTCAACTAGTACGCCTATTAGGAGTGATTAGAAGCATCCTACTCTATATATTGAATTTTTTCTTCAAGACTTTTTATAAGCTATAGCACATAATCTATAGAGTTTTCATAACTTCTGTATAGCTTTTGAGATATTATAGCACTACTAAATATTTCGCTAAGAGGAGCTTTTCTTTTTTCTTCTCTAATTTCTTTACTTTTCCTTTTAGAGTATGTATCTCTCTACTAGTATTCTTCATCTGAGTTTTCAATATTAGATACTTCATCTTTGTCTGACTTAGTATCTGAAAAACTTGAGCTTTGCATATTTTGATTATATTCTTTTTTGTATATCTTGTTATAATATATTTTTCTTTTCTCAGTATCTACTTCTCTGCTCTCTACTGTTTTATCTTTCTCTTTTGCCTAGCTGAACCTTGAGTTAAAATAGAATACTGTAAACTTTGTACTATTTATGTAGTCTTTTTCATTTTTAAAGTATATAGTTGTACTTCTTCTGCTATTGCTATTAGAGTTTTTGAAGATATGTAATACTTTAGCACTTGTATATTTTACTTGTCTCTATAAAAAAACTTCATTTATATCTTCTAACAAATTAAGCAACTTTTTACTATATATATTATGTATTTTCAATTCTTTGAGATTACATTTTCTTACTATAACTCTGACTAGTTGATCTCTCATAAATAGCAAGTACTATGTTTCTGCTAGGTTTTTTGTATTTGCTATATTAGGAAGAAAGCTTGCTGCTGCTTTTGTCTTATCACAAGATTCTTTAATCATTCTATATGTACTACTCTTCCTAGATACCATATTGTTTTAAAAACTTGAAATTTTTTTGCTCAAGTTAGTAGATCTCATATTATTATATAGTCTTTATTTGTTTCTAGCATTCAATCTTTATCTTGTTAATTGAGTGCTGAATTGTTTTTTATTGTAGTTATATGCTTTGAAACAGAGTATTGAGATGTTTTCTCTTTTCTTTGTTTAGAGATTTCTTTGAGCTCACCTTTTGCTCTACTTTCCCTCTTAGCTTTATTTTCTTCTTTTTTTATATTATTTGATATTTTTTTTTATAATTTCTTGTTTATAGGTATTTGCTAAACTTCTTCTCATATAAGTCTTAATTTTTCAAAATCTTCTTTAGAGTTTTCTAGTTTCACTCTTGCTTCTTTATAATCTTTTTCATAGTCAAAGATAATTATATACTATAAGTTCTTTTTTTCAAATTTCTCAGAGATTTTTTTTATATGAACATTCTCTCTAAGTGACCATCTAAGAGATTTTTCTCTTTGCTATAAATTATTACTGAACATATTTATAGTAGCTACCTTTGTCTCAATATTTCTTTTGTTTACATAGCTTTCTTTTTTTAGAGTCTATATACTTTAATCTAGAAAAACTTCTTTGTATACTTTTAGATCTACTTCATTATCTGTTTGTTTCTTAGCTTCAAGATCTTTTTAATTAACTTTAGCACTATCTATAGTTTTGCTCATTTTAATATCTTCCATATCCTCAGATATATTGCTATTAGCTTTAGAAATTGATATAAGTTCACTATTTAAGCTATTTAGTAATATATAGTTTTGAAAGAATACTAATATATGTAAAGTTACTTGTTTTTCTTCTTCTACTTTCATTTTTATTTCCTCTATCTTTGCTTCTGCTTCTTCAGTATAACTCATTTTTTCTCTTTTTCTGATTCTGTAGTGCTTTTACTCTATTGAATTTATTTGTTATTGCAGCTCTTTCAATTACTGTATGCTATTGTTTAGCTATTTTAACAATCTCTAATTCTATACCTATCAACTCAGCTACTATTTTGTCTAGATGCTCTTCTAAACCTAGCACTGCATTGCTTCCTTCTATTGCTATTTCTTTACTGTATTTTTTAATTACTTCTTTAATCAGTTTCCTAGTTTTTTCTTTTTTTTATATTTATTACTCTAGTTTGCTTACTAATAAGTTTATATGAGTTGCTTATTTGGTCTAAAGTGCTTTTTTCTTATTTTAGACTTTAGATATTCTATCTTAAAGTAACTTCACCTTTTTTTTGAAATTTCTAGTTATTTTTTCTGATTACTTGTGATTCATCTAGTTTTAGTCTTGTATATACTATCTATGTTTTAGATATATAATATGTAATTTATTTGTAGTATATTTTGTTTACCTTTTTTGCATATATTTGTACTATATAAGATAATCTGCACTTCAGAGTTTGTTTGATTTTTAAAAAAAATTTCATATTCTGTTCAAAACCTAAACTTCTTCTATAATACTTGATTTTCTTTAGTTTTTTTTAGTTCTTTTTGCTTCAGTATATGTATTTCTTTCTTTATTTTCTTTTTACTTAAGGGATCTTATGCTTATTCTTAATAAGAATTTTGCATTAACTTGATTTTTTTTTCTGCTCCAAAATTGATCAGAATGATCGACAGTGAGAGTTCTGTATATGATTCTTGAGTGATTATCATATTATATAATATATAATATAATAATCACTATAGTAATAACAATTATAGACTTTTTCTAACTATCACTCATATATTTGAGAGGTACAAAAATTTGAAAAAAAACTTTTAGATATATCTTTATCTATTGTAAATACTTAGATACACTATTATATTAAATTCTAAATACTTGAATTATAACTACTTAATCTGTTCTAAAATTAAATTTAGTAATAAACTCATTATTTATTAAGTTTTAAATATGATATTTTCTTATTAGTATAGTGCTAGAAATCTATACTTGACTAATTATATGAAATGTTTCAATTTTTTAAATTGCTATAACTTTTTATACAAAAGGTTTTATAAAAATTGGTTAAATAACTTTGTAGAGCTATATAATATAGCTCTACAAAGTTACTTAAACTAATTTTTTTTAAAACCTTTTGTGTAAAAAATTATAGTGATTTAAAAATTGAAACATTTTATATAATTGGTCAAGTATAAACTTCTAGCACTATATCAATATCAAGATTAATATTTTGAATCAATAAATGCATTTATTCTATCTTTTGTTGCAATTTATAATTTGGATTTAGGATTACAATTTAGAATTTGAAATTTAGAACTTAGGATTTGAGGTTTAGAACATAGGATTTAGGATTTAAGATTTGGAATTTGAGATTTAGAATTAGGATTTGGGATTTGAAATTTGAAATTAGAATTTGAGATTTGGGATTTGAAATTTGGGATTTGGGATTTGGGATTTGTTCAAGGTTTGGGATTTTGCTAGAGTTTGGGATTTTTCTAGAGTTTGGGATTATGACAGCCCAAATAAAATTTTTTTAGTTTGGGATTTAGGATTTTTCTACTTGGGATTTGGGTTTGAATAGGATTTTAAAATTTTATAGTTTGAGTGGCATGTATAGTCAGAGTTATAGTTAGGTTAGGGTTAGGGTTAGAGCGATAGTGTAAAGAAGTTTTATATCAAAATTTAGCAAGAAATTTTTTTAATTAAAATACCAAAAGCAATTTTATATACAAATTTTAAGTTATTTTCTGTTTTTTAAAAATTGCAACAATTTCACGTTACACCTGATCTTTTATTTTAATTGGCTATATTACCCTAGTGCTATGGTGCTATAGCGCTACAAATTAAATCCCAAATCAAAATTTCATCTAAGAAACCACCTTTGAGGCTCTAATAAAAAAAACTCCTCTCTAAATTTTGCATATACTAATACCTAGATAAAATCCCAGACCTCGCCCTAACCCTAAAATAAATAAATTTTCTTTTTTTTTCTAATAAAAAATTGTTTTTTTATAAAAAAAATTAAACCCGTGTTTTAAACACCCCGTGTACAATTATAAATATTCATTATAATAATCACATCATGAAAAATGCAATGAATTAAAATTTCGCCAATAATTACAGTTTAATCTATTTTAACAGAAAGGGCCCAATGCTATTAGTTTATGACCTCCTTTTATCGTAATATATCTACATATAATCAAATTTTTGCATTTATCATTATAAATTATTAAAAGAATATCATAATATATTTGGTTTTTAAAAGATAGAATCAATCAACTACTGATAGTGTTTGAAATGTTATTGAAAAGCGAAAGATCTTATTTTTAAAAATAATACAGTATATATAGACCAGATTGTACAATATATTATCAATGTAAAACTTAATATCAAAAAAGTGATTTAAATCATACACAGTCCAAGGGTAGAAATAATAGAGAGTCCTAATACGGTATATCCTGTAGTATAAACACCTTTGAGTGTTAATGCACTTCCAGTATCCCAGATCTTCCAGTAAAAAAAGTAAAAGATAAAATTTAGTTATTTAAATAGATTTATCAATAAACATAAAATGTAAACGTACCAAATGCCTAACACCATTAAAAGAATGAAAAGTAAATGGAAAGGCTAAAAAGAATTTTCCAGCCAATTTGAGGGAAGTAGGAAGTGTGGCTATTTCGGCAACAAGAGCATCAGAATTTAATCCTAACCCTAACGGACCTTGAATGACATATGCTATAGCACTTCCATAAAGAACTTGATGGATATAAAATTAAACAATTAAAATTGTATCTTACAATTATTTAATTGATCAAAATTCTTACCAGTTGCCAAAGCACCACCGGTAATTCTGTGAAAACCAGACAAGAACCATGTTAATTGTGGTTGATAAATGGATATATGAGGAGAGAGGGGTCGGGAAGCACGCTGGGAATTGAGGATTTCGTTATAGTCCTGCTTGGAAGCTGTGTTCTGGGAAGCTGTATTAAGTAAATGACGAAAGGTAAAACCTAAGCACGGAGACGAAAGACGAGACCCCTGGCGAAAGACTAAACCCCTGGCGAAAGATGAAACCTCTGGAGAAAGAGAAGCTCTAATAAAAGACGAAGCCCTAAGAAGCATTTTTCTATGATGTGATGTGTGTATCGTACTGTTAAAACATTGATTTGTGACTTATCATTATTAGTATTGTAACACTAGATGTAATTATGTAACGTAGATCACATTATTCGTTATCTGTAACAGAACAAGCATACGTAGTAATTGGTTATCTTCCTGCCTGGGTTTTGTTAGAATTCGAATGTTTTTTGATATAACCGCATGTCGACAACGATAAGGACGCTGAAGGGAGCGTATATAAATAACGTTTTCCACTCCTTTATGATATCTAAATAGTTTGCAATCGGAATGGTTTTTCAATGGACAGGAGATTCTTTTCAAATTCACTAATGCAGGTTAAGATTGTAAAGAAACTTCAAATGATGATATCGAAATAACGCATGATTTTGAGGATTATTATTTTGCAAAAAGAAAAAAAAAACAGAAAACGCGAAACCCTTCATTTATAGTGAGGGTGTTTTGTGTTTATGAAGATATTGAACAGAAATCTGATGAAGTTTCGATCCAAATATTCCCCCAAAGCTTTATTTCTTTATACATGGAACCAACAGTAAAAGGTGATGTGGAATTATATATAATATCATTAATTACTTGGTTACGCGTGTTTTATTTTTGTTGTTACTCACATGTATTATTATCGTTATTATTAACATATTCAATCAAGGATATTGAACAGGTTAAAATACTTGAATGTAGTGCATGCGATTAATTCTCGGATAACCAGACAATAGGTAAAAAAAAAAAAAGGTTCGTATTGATTCTGGATCGTAGTTATGGTCTTTTCTTAGCAGCATGAAAATTTTCGGGATAGTAGGACAATATAAAAAAATTTGTCAGTAAAATAAGTTTAGATATTTATCGAATAAAAGCTGTAGTCTTAGAAGTTAAAATTAGTGTTTGTAGTCGATTTGGCTTTAGTCGATTCGACTAAAGCTTGACTATGTATACAGGAAATGACCGGGAAATTTCGAGAACTAGACACTCAAACAACTTACTGAGATATTACCGGATACATCCACTTGAGTACATTCTCTAATGCCAAAAATTAAAAACTTATCGAATCGAATAGTTAATTACTCGACTGATTTTTAGTCTGATGTCCCAGGAATAATGAAAATTGCAGTAACCAGATCGGAACTGTTTAATCGCATAAATTGTTTCATGATTCTGGGCCGAATTATATTAACCATTGGCCAAGGTTAATCTGAATTAGACGGTTAATAGTGTTCCGCGAAAATTACCGGTCGGAACCGGTATTTTTGATGGCTATTAAAACAGTGTTACACGATAGATTCTTGAACTGAAATCAGAAAACGTACCAGTTGCCTGTGGCAGCTCTCGATGTGTTGTGATTTTAGAGAGCTGCCACTGGCAACAGGCACGTGCAGTAGTGGGTTTATCTATAACACGATTTAAGAATCGTGTTTTTATAGCCATTAAAAATACCGGTTCCGACTGGGTAATTTTCGCAGAACACTAGCGCTAGTTAAAATGATATGTTATAAATAAAAGATTAAAGCGGGCCAGCTTTAAGATTTAGTTTAATGCCAATAGACTGAAAAGGGGGACGTCTAAAGCGGGGGCAACTCATATTTCTTAATAATTTTTTCGATTAACTTTAGGGTTAGGGTCATCTTATATTAGAGTTAGGTTAGATTTTAGGTAGTTATATATAAGCAAAATTGCCTTCCTGATATTTTTACTTAACCTACCTGAGGTAGATTTAGACTGCAGTTCTTTTTGTTTCTTGCTTTGCTTCGCCGGTGATCATCAAAATTCTATAATTTGATTGGTTGTGATCACGTGAATTTGCCCCGCTTTAGACGACCCCATGAAAAGTTCCGAAAAATTCTGAAATTTTTACTTTCCAATTCTCTTTCAATCAACCAATGAAATACTGAATTCAAACTTTCTCTACGCTAACAGAACTTACTAAGTTAGATTATTAATTTGTTTTCTGTAAATGTCTAGTAGCAACAACAAGGATAAACAAGAGTGGGCAGAAGGTAGTGATAATAACATGTTACTAAGCGGCTTTAAGGAGAATAACATTTTTTCAGAGTTAGAGACGGATTTTAATAGGATTGAGACTGTGATTGATACGTTACTCGCTCAACCTTTGAGCGAAATAGCTTCAAGATTTCCACCAGCAGAGCGTGCAAGGCTATACTTATTATATGCTTATTGCTGCAATAAACTTACTTCACGTAAGTTTAGAACTTGATCGGTCATTTTGATCATTTTTCTGTAAAACAAAAAGCCATTTATTGGAAAGCGAGGCAATCAATTATAATTAAAAGTACTTATATGCGCACTACTAATAACTAAAACATCATTGGTAGTATATTTGGAGGTCAATGGAGAACCCGAGACTAGAGAGATTCTTGACCAGGAAGTGTGTATTTTATAACTATGTTAATCTCTCTAATATATTTGATAGCATTAATATTCTACCTTTAATAATTAAAAGAAACGCGTTCAAGAGAGTTCGAATAGGGTTGAAAATACAATTAATCCACCACAACCTTCGTTAGTATTAAACCGTTCTGCTGCTACGCGCTTCATTATGCATTCATTACCAAAAGAACGTGAAATAAAAGATGAGATTCGACGTGAAGTAAAAGAAGAGGTTCGCGGTACGTTTTAATCATTCCTTTGACCTTTCATTTTGATCCTTCTGTTCTTTAATTTTGAAAATTTGTCTCTTGAACAATTTCCTTTATATGAATTAGCAACGAGTTCAGCACACACCCGATTTGATGATTATAGCGAGAGAAGATTTAGTGGTTCTTCATCTAATGATAGAAGAGCTAGTGGTTCTTCATCTAATGATAGAAGAACTAGTGGTTTTTCTAATATAGGTTCATCACCTAGTGATAGAAGAATTGGTGGTTTTTATAATGCTAGTTCTCCATCTAGTGATAGAAGAAATAGTGGCAATCACAATACTGGTGGTTCTTTACTTTATGATAGAATTTCTCGTGTGGGCATGTCACCTCGTGACCTAAATGATCGAAATTATG